CCTGTATGCTTTGCATTTGTAGCTACTGTAGGTAGGGCTTCCCTCTGGCTGGCCTGATGCCAGGGCAGGGTTTGCTGGTTTGCAAGCCAGCTGCAGGCTGGCTGGGAGGAATGCACAGCCAGTTGCATATCACGGTGTGGGGCCTTGGAGCTGCGTAGCCAACAGAGGGATGGAGCACCTGAAGATTGTGAAAGTTCCCAACCCTGTCCTGTGAGGTCTGTTCTTTCCTCCAGGTTTATGTAGTCTGACACAGCCTTCTTTCCTGTTGCTCTTTCAGTGTTAGTTGTATTAATTATATTGTCATATTATATGTGGTTTTAGGAGGAGGTCTCTGTCTCACCTCTCACACCGCCATCTTTAATACTATCCTGATCATTCTTTAGAATGACCTTCAAGATATATTGTTAAGAGAAGAATGCAAGGTAGAGAATAGGAGTGATAGTATACCATCATCTATATAACAAGAAAGGAAAAGTGTAACATATGCTTAGCCATTTGCATTTCATGTGACTATTAATATGTTAGGACTTAAGTCTATTGTTTTATTTTCTTTTGTTTGCTCTGTTTCCCTTTTCTTGTCTTCCTGTGTTATTTGAACATTTTTTAGGATTCCATCTTGGTCTATCTGTAGTGTTTTAGAGCATGTTACTTTGTGTAGTCTTCTTAGTGGCTGGACATATGTGTACATATGTGTGTATGTTTACATATATGTGTATATGACCTAATCACAATCTACTGATATCAATGTTTTACCAATCTGAGTGAAATGCAGAAATCTCACTCCCATTTAGGTCCCTTTATCCTCCCTACTTCCAAGTTTCATTATCTTGAGAATCTGATGGTCATGTAATTTTTATTTCAATCTTCATATATAATTTAGAAAATTCATGAAGAGGATAGTGTGTTCTATTTATGCATATTTCTACATTCTCTATTATTCTTTCTTCCTTCCTAATTATCCAAGATTCCTTCCTTTATCATTTCATTTCTTTTGAAATACATCCTTTTGCCATTCCCAGGAATATGTCTGCTAGTGACAAATTCTTCTAGTTTTCCTTCATCTGAGAATGTCTTTATTTCCCCTTAATTCCTGATACAGAATTTGCAGTTGACAGTAATTTTCTTTCAGTATTTGAAAAATGTATGTCACTTCCTTCTGGACTCTATTGTTTCAGGTGAAAAATCTGCTATCATTTGAATTGGTATTCCCCTAAAGGCAATGTGTTGTTTCTCTCTGACTGCTTTCAAGATGTTTCCTTTGTCATTAGTTTTCAGAAGTGTTTGATGTGTCTTTGAATGAATTTCTTTGGATTTATCCTATTTGCAATTCACTTAGCATCTTTTTTGGTATATTTATATGTTTTACCAAATTTGGGGAATTTCCAGTCATTATTTCTTTGAATATTCTCTTTCAGTCCCACTCTCTTTCACCTCCCCTCCTACCTCTCCAGCTGCTGCAAATGTTGTATCTTGTTACTGTCTCTTAGGTTCCCGAGATTCTGTTCTCAGTTTATTTTCTCTGTTTTTCAAATTGGTGAATTCTCTTGATCTGTTCTCAACTTCACTGATTCTATCCTCTGTCATCTCTACTGTATTATTGAGTTCATCTAGTCATTTTTATTATTTGTTGTTTTTCAATTCTGTAATTTCCATTTGTGCTTTTTTATAGCTTTTTTTTTGCTGAAATTTTCTATGTATTTTTTTTTACTTGTTGAAAGAGAATTTGTAATTGTTTGTTGAATCATTTTTATGATGGTTCCTTCAAAATACTTGAAGGATAATTCCAGTATCTGGCTCATCTCAGTGTGGGAGTGAGATGATTATCTTTTCTCATTCAAGTTGCAATTTTCTTGGTTCTTACAATGAATAGATTTAATTGTATCTGGACATTTAGACTATTAGGAGACTGAGTGATATTTAATTTTTTATTTTAGTAGGTAGTCACTCTGTTGAGGTTTAACATGCAGGTCCTAGCTTACTTTTGTGGACTGTGACAAAATGACAGTCTAATCTTTAGGGCCTCTACGGTGCTATTTTGATTGGTTTGGTTTGTCTCCTGCCTTTGGTGCCCAGACTGGTGGTTGCTGGTACTAGCTGAGAAAGTGAAGAAAGGTGTTTCCCCAGGCTGTGTTGCCTGGTGCCTTTAAGTGGGGGAAGAGAATTTCTACTGATATTTCCTCAAGTACCTCATGGGTTGGAGGCTTATGGTGGTAGAATTGCCCTCACTGATGTGCCCTGTCAAGTGAGGTCTCAGGGTGGGAGAGGGGAATCTCACGCTGGTAGAACAGTCCTCTGGCTAGTTATTGTTAAAAGAACATTCATTTGGTCCTCTTGCTATTTCTGATGGGCTTACCTAGAGTTGCTGGCAAGAATCCCATTCAGTTTGAAGGAAGAATAAGGCTACCTGGTTGCCTTCCATTGCTAGACTGGGTTCTGTTCAGAAAGGCCAGGCCCTGGGCCATCATCTCTTGGGTGGGGAGTCATAAAATGCCCTGACACTGTGTTGTCCTTGTGTTCTTTTGGTCCATAATCAATTCACCTTCCTTCCTACGTTTCACGGTTCTCTTTCAGTTGAGTTTTGTGTTATTTTCAATGATTTAAGCATGATTAGCAGACAGAAGCAGGGAAAGACAAGTCTCTATATATGCTTATACAGGCATAAGATTTCTCTAGAAGAGTACATAAAGAATTGCTTTCCTTGGGGGAGAAATTGGGGAATATGAGCTAGGAGGGAGAACTTTTTACATACCTATCTGTATGTTCTCATTTTAATCAGATGAATTATTATCTATTCAAAAATGAAAATAAAATGAAAAAGACAACAGAAGTCTTCTATCTCAGCCTTGTTTTCAAGAGCACAATCAAGGCCTACAAGAGAGGTCAAGCAGCATACAAATTCAACAGTCGGTAAGTTTATTAAATTTCATTGACTTTTAATTTCACTATATCAGGACTGCTTTGATCCAGGTCCCTGAATATAAGACTAATATTCTCAGTGGATTTTCATCCTGCTCATAGATTTTTAATAACTTGGAGAATACAAATGTGTAATTAGATAGGAGTAGATGCTTTTGGCAGCATACTAGAACCCCAATCAGCTGAAAAGATAATATGTGCACAACATTAAAGCAAAATTAATAACAAGACACTGATTACATGAAAAGATTTCAGGTAGTAATTATTAAATTTGCACACAACTCAGCATAATTAGTGCCTTAATTAAGATATGACCTGAAATTTTAGCTTACAAAATTAAGTCACAATTATAATCTAAAACTTACAAGATAGTTAGGTATCACTTCTTTTCTCACTTTGGGGAGCATCTTCATGGATAGTGAGCTTACAATGCAATTACTTTGATTCCCAACCTGTACCTCAGCACAATGTTTCAGCCAGAAGCCTTTAAGAATAAAGTTTAGTAACCTTCAGCCAAGGACATCCACCCAAAGCAGACTGAGCAGCTCCCAGACACACTCCTGCATCACTCTAGGGCATAAGGAAATAGTAAAGACCTATTCTCTCCCCAGCACCTTAAGTAAAATTTAAACTAGAAGGCTGATACTGACTTTGATTAAACTCTATTTTCACAGAAGTAATGCGATTTTTACTACTGACATTTATGCTTCAACACATAGTTCTTGCAAGGCATTTCAAGGCCTATAGTTTAGCACATGGTAAAGGTTCTAATCCAAGCCAAAGAATTTCTCAGCAGTAGAAAAAAATGGAGAATTCAATAAATACTGATGGGCTAGTGATTTTGGAAAAACCAAATCTGGAATCCTACCTTCATCCCTCATGTCAAAATAAACTCCAAATAGATCAAAGATTTAATATAAAAACAAAATTATAAATGTACTAGAAGATATGGGTTAATATTTTTATAATATAATCAGGAGTGGTTTTTTAACCATGATGGTTAAAACAAAACCCATATAAGAAATGGCTAACAAATTTGCCTACTTAAAAATTCTAAACTTCCATACATAAAAAAAATCATAAATTTTAAAAACCTAATTCAAGGACAAATCAAGAAATAACTGATTAAAATCTGAAACTTTCATTTATATTTTGACTCATTTTTCCTCTAAAGGCACAGCTTTATTCCTCAATAAGAAAATAAGGAAATAATTGGAAATAAGCATCATGGTTTATGTCCAAGAATATTAAATAAAGGGAAAAATCAAAAGAACTTACATGTTAAAAAATAGCCTGTAAAGTGATTATGAGTACAGAATTGCCATAGGCTACAGACGTTAAGATCAGAATATTTAATAACACCAAACAAAATATTTTCTTGATAGAGCCTTGTTAAAAAGAATATAGATGAATCCAATTTGATTTTAAAATTTATCCAGACAGTAAAAAAGATTGGAAGGAAACAAAATATCAGTAATAATCACTAGAGATAGAATTATGGATAAATATTATTGTTTTCATTTTCATTAATGTCCAAATCTTCTACAATAAGTAAATTATTTTTGTACCTAATATTTTTGTAAATTCCTTGAAGTTTTAAAGAAAATGTTATTTCAATTATCCCAAAAAGAACTAGCTTGGACTAGATCAGATATGAAAGATCAAAATTAGAGACTTGAAAAGTATAGTGTAAAATACAGTACAATAGAGTGTACAGTGTATTGTACAATACAATCATTGTGACAACTCCCCAAACCCCCTCCTTTTTTAAATCCCTCTACCAGATTTGGTGATGCTATATCACATGGGTTAAATCACAACTCCTGGTCATTCCCAGTGATGGATCTCTCTCTCTCTCTCTCTTCCTTTCTCTTTCTCTTTCTCTCTCTCTCTCTCTCTCTCTCTCTCTCTCTCTCTCTCTCTNTGTCTATTCCTAATTGCCTATGTTGGAAACAGGGAATATGAGGTTCAAAACTCTGATTACCTGGTCTTGGCAAGAAGCTTATGACTTTAATTAGAGGCACTTGCCAATCACAAAATAACTATAAGTAGAGTACAGGAAATATTATCATTGAACTTTGTACCTGTAGGCTTTCTTAATTTCCTTATCTGATGCTCCCTTATGCAAACCAAGAATTTCATATAGAGCTTCTCCAGATGTCGACATAGTCCGTTGTCTTTGGTTAGGTGTGTTGCATGCCATTTCCTCAAGCTGCAAAAGCAAAGAGAGGAAATAGAATGAAGTTTATGCCTATTGGATCCCACTTTCTAAAGTGGAAGGTGGTTCATTTTTAACCTTTTGTAAATGACATTCTGTTGTACATTTTTGGGCCAGATACAAAAAAGGGGGGGAAAAGGGTTAGGAAAGCCAAAAATGAAGCTTCAAGTCAGGGTGTTAAAGTCTTCAGGCAGCCATGCAAATGGAATATGGTTTGGTCCACATGCTTAAGTAGAAGCAAAATGTTAACTAAATACCCACTATTTCAATTCTTACAGGTCAGACATATGGAGGATTTTTGCTAGAATTTGCATAACTTCTTTTGTGTATGTTTTCCAAGTTTGCAGGCAATGAAATTATCTTCTGTTGTACTTTGACTCTATTGGCCTAGCCATTGTGAAAACAAGAGTTTCAAAAAATTTTAAAAACCCAACTTTTTATAAATAGCAGAGAAAAAAAAATCCTGGCCTCATATGGAAGGCAGGTTAGAACTTCTCCGCAGCTGTGGGATACTAGAACCCCCACAATGGCATGGCTTCTGTGCCTGATATAGAGCATTTCTTGGTGGTCTATCCAGGAAGGATTGGGCTATCCCAAATGCCAAGAAGCCATCTGCCTGCTGTGTTCTGGATCTAGAACAGGGCGCACAGAAGCAAGCACACCTGGGTGCATTCCTGCATCTACCACTTAACCTCTCTATGCCTTAACGTCTTCACTTATAAGAATAATAAAGCCCACATAATAAGGTTATCTTAAAGATTTAGAATTAATGTATACAATATACCCAGGACATAGTAAGTTCAAAGAAAAAGGTAACTATTTTTATTAAAGGCATCACAGCATGTAATTCAGAGAGTGCACTATAGTCAGACACTCTGGGTTGAAATATTGGCTTTGCCATGACCTTCCCTATCTGTAAATTGGAGACAAAAATATACATAAACTTGTGGAGCTGTTTTAAGAATTAATATATTAAAAAACAAAAACATATACAAACGTACATAGCAGCATTATTCATAAAAGTCAAAAAGTAGGAGCAACCCAAATGCCCCTCAACAAATGAATGAAATGTGATATGAACATACAATGGAATATTATTCAGTCATAAAAACAAAGGTAATTCTGACACATGCTACAATATGGGTGAATCTTGAAAACATTATGCTAAGTGAAATAAGCCAGACACAAAAGGACAAATATTGCATGATTCCTCTTACATGAGGCACTGAGTAGGTAAATTTAGAGACAGCAAAACAGAGGTTACCAGGGGCTGCAGGAAGGAGGGAACAGGAATTATTGCTTAGTGGATAAAGAGTTTCTATTTGAGATAATGAAAAATTTCTGAAAATAGATAGTGATGATGGTTAGATAACACTGTGATTGTACTTAATGCCACTAAACTGTACACTTAACAGTTCAAATGGTAAATGTTACATTCTACCACAAGAGTAAGACAAGAAAAATAAATAAGTAAAAACTGTTTAGATTGTAAACTCCTCAGATAGAAGTTTCTTGAAAATCTTTATTCATTTTTTGGCTTTGGGCCTTGGGCAGCAAGTACTGTAAGAGTGAATGAATGAATATACCAGGACTCCGGAGATGGTGTCAGAGCTGCCGAGAGACGCTTATGTTCAACACAAGGAATCCCAGCGGACAACGGCCACAGCAGCAGAGCTGGAAGGGCCACATCCCAGTGGTATGCAGGATCAGATGGAGCCGACCTCCCAACTCTGTCCCCACCAGACTAATGACCAAATCAACACCAGCAAGAGCAGAAACCTCCGTATGTCACCTGATGAGTCAGGAGCTCTTAGAGGCCCCTAAGGCCCCAGCGAGGTACAATGATTGCTTATAGTCCTAAGGAATTCAGTGAAGAACAATGGGAAGAACTTCAAAATGTTTTTGTGAGCCTTTAGCTTCATGATGGGGGGAAAAAAGGAAGCCAGTACTGAAGCAAGTCAGAACCAGGCAAAAACCTATAGCCCTGAAGGCATTTGGTGAGAAAGCTGGCTACCCAAAGTGGGACCACACACTCATTGTGTGGCAGGGCTGCCTGTCCCCTCCTCAGTTAGCCTCCCCTGAAAGTGGACTCAATGGGGGCTGGAGGGACCCTAGTCCCAAATCCCTGGTTCAAATAAGGACAAGAAAAGGAATCCTGATTTTGCCTGCCACAAAAATCTAAAAGAGGTCCATACTGACTGGCAGTAATTTTAGCACTTATTTTCATTGCTTCTCTCTACCTTACCTTTCTCACTTACCCATAACATGTTCCTAGAGAACAAGCAATTCAAAGCTTGGGCTGTGTCATTCATCCCTGGGTTCAAGTCGTGCAGCTCAGCCCTATTTTGGAACCTAACCAGCTAACTATTTGCAATAGAAGGGAAAATTGCCTAACCAACACCTTCCCTATTTCCAGCCCTGTCCCCTCTCTCCTGCTGCCACCACAGTCATACATGCTCAGGATATGGATGCTCTGCCCCACACAGACACTTAACACCAGTAATGGAGGCTACTGCCAAGTTTTTTACAAGTCACATTAAATGCCACAAATGAATGGGATTTGAAAAGTAGGGATTTCTGTATGGCTTGATGGACAAGGAATAGGGCCACAGTCATCCTGCCCATCCCTGAGATTTTAGTATCTTGCTGGGTAGCAAGAACACCAAAGTCACTAACTAAGAAGATTTCAACATGATCATCATTCAAATCCTAGGGCTGTAAAAAATACAGGCTAGTGGTCATTTAAGCCAACTTAACAAATGGCTGTTGGGACATTCTAGCCAGAGATCACTGTCACAGACAACTTTACTATTAGCCTATTAGCTCTCCTATTTTGGGGAATGCTAGGTACCCACTGCAACATATGCTTTTCCTGAGACCTACTTTAGTCTTACCTGATCTCAGTTGAGCAGTCAGGGGTGAGTAACTGACCCAAGTCAGACCAATCACAGTCCTTCCCTAGGATTTTTTCTTAACATGTGGAACAATCTCTCAGATGTGAAACGTAAGATGTAAAGTTTGGGTAGTGTTGACTGGCCAAATGAGAGAGATTAAAACTGATCTGCAAAAGAGGAGCAGTGCCAGGAGATGGAGAAAGAGCCCCAGTGGGGTTCAGTCTCCCAGTTCCTGTTGCTTTAGGGACACTTGCAACTCTTCCCTCCCATGGTTTGTCAATCAACCCTTCCCTGGACTGAGCCAATAAAATTCCTCCCATACACAAATTCACACCCATTTCTTTCTTTTGGCTAGGTTTTGGTCACTGTCAACCAAGACTCCTAAGTGTCATGTCCTCTCAATTAAACACCAGTAGTGGTTCCCTAAGTACTTTCAACCCAGGCTAATTCACTGTGGACTTTTCTCAAATTACTGCACTTTTCCTTTCAATTGAATGTGGCTTTTAGGTACTTGGGAGTGAATACCTTGGGGAAATAACAATGATATACTAAGATATTCAAACAGATTCAAATGTATTGTATAGACGTTACTAGTACAGATAAAAGGAGCCACTGGTAAATCTGGGCAAAGACACTTTCATAAAGAAAATATAGGGAGAATATTCAAGAGAACACAGAAGAAATGCAAATATGGCAAACAGTTAATCCTTGTTTTATCTACTTATCTCTATATTCAGCATTCAAAAGAAAATTTCAGTTTGAGGGGGGAAATGTATTCACTCTTAAATCATCTGTCTCATGGAGTAAGAGAGATGTCATGGCTCCCTCAAAAATCAATTTTAACACGACACTCATGCACAGTTACAACAGTTGTGAGCATCATGTTCCATGACTGGCTTTGATTCCTTCCTATTTGGATCCTGCTGTCACTAATCCAGGAAGAAGATTTACAGGTTACTGAAGATAATCTGCCAAACAGATCATGGTAACACCCACAGCAGATAATCCAATTATGTATTCAAAGGCTGCAGTGAAGTCTAAGTCTTGAAGGAGATTGCAGACTAATATGAGATACAAAACTGAAGCTAATAATGAAATAGTGCTCAGGGTTAGACAAATACTGAGTATAGAAAACAAACAAAACAAGAAGGAATCTTCTGGAGGAACAAGGATTCTGCTTTATTCCCATAGAGGACTAGTATCATGCCTGCCACATATTAGGTACATGATACTTGTCTCTTAGGTAACTAAATAATGGGAATGTTAGGCAGAACTCCACAGAAAAGATGAAATATGGGCTCATAATAATACTACCACTTGTTACTATAGAACTCAGCACACATTTTTATTACAGCCCTTGCACCTAAGCATAACCTTGAATCTGCAGGGGCTTGGTGGGACCAGTGACTCTGGATCATCTATTTTCATAAATCGACATGAAAAAGGACTTCTGAATTTGGGGGCTGAAGAGGAAGGAGGACAGCTTGATATGGTGACTGGGACATCTTTTTTCCAAGGCTGTCCCCTTCAAAGTTATCCCACTTACGGGGTTAGAAAAGTCCTAGAAACAGCCTGGAATTTGTCCTTCCCTGCCCCACTGCAATCTCGCTACACATTCCTCTTGCCAATGTAAAAAGAAGACGGATTCCATCTCTCAGATAGTTTCTCTCAGATATTATTTTCAACTCACCACTTCTTTTAGAAATCCAGTCACACTGTAACCTATTCCTGCTAAATGAAATCTGGTAGCTGATTTACTTTATGTTGTAGGTTAAACATACTCAGAGTGGGTTGTTGTAGAATTTGTAAATTGTTCATTATCTGTTTCACTTTCTTTGCCCTGTTCCCAAAAGATTTCCTTTTATACAGATAACATTCTCAATTAAGGTACAAAAATAAAGTCCATTTATATCAGTACTGGGACACAAGAAAAACATAGTTGGTCAATGTGGTTAGTGATGGGCTGACTTTATAGATTGAAACATAAAGGAATCAAGAGACTATAAGGTTGCTCTCTGTGCATCAAACAGCAACAACTTGCCACTTTTTCTGTCTCCTTACTGAGCTGGAAACCAGATTCTTCATATATTA